TTTTTCATTAAATATCTTCTTTTAGGCCCAGTGATGTTATCACTGGGACACTGTGCTTCTCTATGCAATGCAGGGACAAATCTTCAGATATCCTGAAGTTGGACTTAAGGCTCACATGGCTGGGGCAAGGTAATCTAGCGCCCAGGGCAAAGGTGCCAACGGTGCCCTCAAATTGTATGAGCATTATGTGTCTGCAAAAATTCTCTCCCTCCCACCAAAAAAAAAAAAAATTCAAACACTAATAGCTAATAAGCATAAATTCCCTTTGCAAGTCAAAATCCTTCCCCTAAAATAATTTCCCCTCTACTAGTATGAATCCCCCCTCCCAGATCAAATCCTCTCCCTCCCCAACTCCCCCCTCCTAGCAAAAATCCTCTACCCCTCAAATTTCCCTGCTGAGGATAAATCCTCTCCCCCTCCAAATCCCCCTCTCCCAACACAAATCCCCCCCCCAAATCACCTCTCCTAGCACAAATCCCTTCAATCACCCTTACAAGCACAAATCTCCCACCCCCCAAATCACCTCTCCTAGCGCTACCCCCCCCCCCCCAAAATTTCCCCTCCTAGAACAAATCCCTTCAATCACCCCCAAATCTCCCTTCCTAAATGAAATCCATTCTCTAAGTACAAATCCCCTACCCCTTCAAATCACCCATTCTAGCACTACCCTCCAAAATCCCCACCACGCCCAGAGCGGCTGCCTCTTCTGCCCACCCCTTGTTTAATTAAACTTTGACAAGAAATCCTGGGAGCTGATTGGTTTCTATGCAGAGCTGCAGCAGATTCTGTGTGCCCCAGCGTCAGTAGATCCCCTGCACTTGCATGCTGATCTGTATTTTCTGAAAGGGACAGGTATGTCATTTGACATCAGAGATGTAACGTGGTACAAGGTGCCTGAGATTATTCTCAGAATTGTTTATACCACTTAATTATAGTGCAGTCAAGGACAGTATTTGAGCAGATCACATTTCCTGCGTGCCTGGGACAGTCTCCAGCCATGACTGCACAGCCCAACAAACAGGTGTACTTTTTGAGTGCCCTGGGGGAAGGTGTTGTGCAATGCAGGGAAATTCCCCAGACCTCAGAGCAATGAAATCAGCAATTCTTTAACCACTTGCGCTCCAGAGGATTTACCCCCCTTGCTGACCAGGCCTCTTTTTGCTATTCGGCTCTGCACTATTTCAACTGATAATTGCGCTGTCATGCAATGCTGCACCCAAACTAAATTTACGTCCTTTTTTTCACAAAAATAGAGCTTTCTTTTGGTGTTATTTGATCACCTGTGCACTTTTTATTTTTCACGCTATAAACAAAAAACCGACGGAAAATTTTGAAGAAAAAATATTTTTTATTATTTTCGGCTATTAAAAATATATATCGACTATTAAAAATCCCAATAAGTGTATATTGATTGCTTTGTGTGAAAGTTATAGCGTCCACAAACTATGGTATAGATACTGCAATTTATGCCATTTTTTTGCTGTACAGCGCTGCACTAGTTTAACTGACAACTGCGCGGTCATGCAATACTGTACATAAAAGAAATGTACGTCCTTTTTTTTTCACACAAATAGAGTTTTCTTTCGGTGGTATTTGATCACCTGTGCGCTTTTTATTATTGGTGCTATAAACAAAAAAAGTTTTTAAAAAAAACATTTTTTTTTTAGAAAAAAAACAATTTCCAAAAAAAAAATTGTATTTTCTCATTTCGTTCATAAAAAAAATATCCCAAAAACTCAAATTTCGTCATAAATTTAGGCCAAAATGTATTCTGCTACATGTATTTGATTAAAAAAATCCCAATAAAGGAGGGAATACACGATTAGAAAATTGACTGATCGGATCGGTCATCCGACGACCAAGAGGCGTTCGTCCGTCGGGCAATACGTAGTGTTGACGTCTTCCGTACAAGTGGAAGTGATGCAGTGTGTGTGCGACCTTTTTTTTTTTGGTCCGCACTAGAATCGGAACACATGGGTATTCACACCTATGCGATCCGATTCTGCACATCGCACCGCGTTTTGCTGACCGCTTTCAGGGTGTTGTTAACATACACACCCGCAGCGGTTCAAATGAACGGGCTGCAATTCTTATGCGGTGCAGAGTTCGCACAGAAAACGCTGCAAATTCCGCACCGCATCAGTGTGAACCAGGACTGTTCCCTTGTAAAACAACCCATTCAGTTTAACACAGAAATGAAAGGCAAAACATTTGTGTATAGTTATAAAAAAAAACATTATATATACCTTTTTCCCCCTGATTTTTTATAAGTGATCACATTCCTTCTGTTCTGCGTAAGAGCTGGGGGAGGAGAAATAGCAGGACACAGATCTTACCAGTGAATGGCTGTGCATGGGATGGGGGTAGGGTTGCCACTTCATCCCTTTAAAACCGAACACATTAATTACACAGGTTCTGAGGCTAATTTATTGCAGATAAGGCACTAAGTGAATTTAATTACCACCTTAATCAGCCACAGAACCCGTGTATTTGATATGTGTTCAGTTTTAAAGGGATGAGGTGGCACCCATCAGCGGATCCACCTGCTCAGTGGGGAATCTCTCCGCTGATCCCTGCAGAGCAGGCGGATGACAGGTCTGTGTCTGCTGCCCGCTGTCGTCTATGGGGTGGTCAGATGGAATCGGACCGCCTTTCCATGGTGGTTGCCATTTTTGTATAGCTTGATTGCTGGAATTGGCATGGTGGCATTTGGACACCTTGGCTGCCCTTGTCCTTTGCTGGACTTCTAATGTATCCCTGTGCTTTTAAGGAGGAATTAGCTGCCTCCAGACACGCCTGCCCTTAACCACTTGACCACCACAAGGTTTTACCCCCTTCATGACCAGGCCATTTTTTGCTATTTAGCACTGCACTACTTTAACTGGTAATTGCGCAGTAATGAGACACTGTATCCAAATGAAATTTATATAATTTTTTTCACACAAATAGAGCTTTCCTTTGGTGGTATTTAATCACCACTGGGATTTTTATTTTTGTTATATAAACAACAAAAAAAGGCAGAAAATAATATTTTTTACTTTCTGCTATAAAACATATCCAATAAAAAAATGTAAAATCTAATTTTTTCATAAATTTAGGCCAAAATGTATGCTATGTCTTTGGTAAAAAAAAATCCCAATATGTGTATATTGATTGGTTTGTGTGAAAGTTATAGCGTCTACAAACTATGGTATATATTGATTTTTTTTTATTTATTTATTTATTTTTGTTTTATACTAGGTATGGCGGTGATCAGCAACTTATAGTGAGACTGTGATAGTGCAGTGGGCAATCTGACACTAACTGATGCTGGCTGAGAGGTATACTAACTGAATGACACTGACATCACCAGTGACACTAATACAGTGATTGGCGATAATACTATACACTGTTCCTGTACTAATGACACTGGCTGGGAAGGGGGACACAGAAAACCAAAAACCGACAATGGTTCTCACTCACCACTCTATCTAAATCTAAAAAAGCTTTGCCTTTAGTTATACTTTAAGGTTTAACCTTCCTGCCTGGCCAATAGCAAAATGAGCCAAGCGGGACTCTTGTCGATCCAGGTAGGCATCATATGACATCCTTCCCGGATCGCTCCTCGCGCATGCCCACGGGCCATGCTGTGGCAATGTCTGTCACCAGCTGTGTACAGCTGATGACAGAACTGTGTACCGGCTCATTGCCAGTACCATATGACCTGCTGTGACCAATCACAACTGGTCACATGACAATTGTAAAAACAATGGATGGCTTCCTTTCATACCATTCATTGTAGACAATTGTGTCACTAGCTGTGATTTGTCACAGTGATCACATGTACAGACTGGGCCAATCACAGCTCATCTGTGTCATGTAATTAGCTGTGGCCAGTCACAGCTAATCACAACCAAAAAAACTTGAATTAATCAATTTCATTCAGTTATATGCTTGCTTATTGCTAAGAAACTTGTTGCTATAAGCAATCATAATGTGTAAAAAAAAAAATCGCTGATCACTTCCCAGAGTAGTACAATGTTACTATGGTAACATTATACTACTCTGGTCAAAGTGTGTTATGAAAAAAAAAATCATAAAGAAAAAGAAATAAAAATGTAATAAAAAATGTTTCTTAAAAATTACATTTTTTTTCCCGTACTTTTACCAGTATGTGTCCCTGATCACTTGCACACCAGTTATATGATGATGCTGTACTGCACTAGTGACAGTATGAAAAAAAAGTTTGTGAAACATTTCTTCATTTTCCAAAAATTATGACAAACAATTACAACTTCAAAAACTTTTACAACAGAAACGAAGAAAAACATGTTTTGTTTTTTTTTTTTTTAAATTGTCTTTTTTTGTTAATTTAACAAAAAAAAAAACCCAGTGGTGATTAACTGCTAGCCTACAGGGCACTTATACCCCCTTCCTGCCCAAGCCAATTTCCAGCTTTCAGCGCTGTCACACTTTGAATGACAATTGCGCGGTCATACAACACTATACACATATGAAATTTTTATCATTTTTTTGTGACAGATAGAGCTTTATTTTGGTGGTATTTAATCACCTCTGGGTTTTTTATTTTTTCTTAAACAAACCAAAAACCACTGAAAATTTTGAAAAAAAAATGTTTTTTTCTTAGTTTTTGTTATAAAATTTTGTAAATAAGTGATTTTTCTCCTTCACTGATCTGCTAATGAGGCTGCACTGATGGGTACTTATAGGCTGCACTGATGGACACTGATAGGTGGCACTGATTGAGGAGGAACTGGTAGGTGGCACTGATGGGCATTGACAGGCATCACTGATGGGCACTGAAAGGCAGCACTGATACATGGCACTGATATATGGCACTGATAGGCAGCACTGACTGGCACTAGTAGGCGGCACTGACTGGCACTAGTAGGCCGCACTGACTGGCACTAGTAGGCCACACTGTTAGGCGGCACTGACTGGCATTGTTAGGCGGCACTGACAGGCACCGATAGGCGGCACTGATGCGCACTGATAGGCAGCACTGACTGGCACTGATAGGTGGCACTGATTGGCAGCACTGATAGGTGGCACTGATTGGCATTGATAGGTGGCACTGACTGGCACTGATGGGTGACACTGAAAGGCAGCTCAGATGGGCACTGATATGTGGCATTGATGTGCACTGGTAGGCACTGATATGTGGCACTGCTGGGCACTGGCACGAGGCACTGATGAGCACTGACATAAGGCGCTGATGGACACTGACAGGTGGCACTGCTGGGGCTACACTGATCATCAGGGCACACTGATCATCAGTGCTCTGATGATCTGTGTTCATGTCCACTCCGAGGAATGCAGATTACTGACTCTCCTCTCCTCTGTCTGCGTGACAGCTCGAGAGGAGAGAAATGCCGATAACCGGCATTTCCCTGTTTACATGTGATCAGCTGTGATTGGACACAGCTGATCACATGACCGAGCCGACATCTTCGACTTTTTCTGTGATCGGTGATCCGCTGTGTCCTAGGGAACCTCCCACGGAATCTCACATCACAGCTCCAGGTTACAGCAGAAGCTCCACAGAGACCATACATCTACAGATCCCAAAAGATGGCCGCTGGAACGCACCGCTCAGCGTGCGCTCCACTCACCGGAAGTGACGTCAGACGTAAGGAGTAACAACCGGAAATGCGTCAACGCGTTTCGCCCCTCCCATCGGGCGTTCTCAAGACCATCCCATCGGGCGTTCTGCTGTAACCTGGAGCTGTGATGTGAGATTCCGTGGGAGGTTGCCTTACATCTACTGTTCATCTGGAAAGAAGCTGGTCCTAATAAATATGCCTTTTTAAAGTGATTCTAATGTGAGTGGCCTTAATCCTTGATTTCACTTATGAATGGTGTTTTGCAATATTACACTATCTGAGATTTTTTCTCCCTGGTCGGATGGTGGAGCCTATGCTGGAGGTGAGGATTCCTACAGAGTGGATACGAAAGAGGGTTTAGGAGCCCATAAATTCCTTAAAGGCGTTTCATTCACCTATATCTAGTGAGTGCATTTGATGTTGGTTTTCACGGGTAGAAGGTGGAAGTTTCTTTATAATAGAAGAAGAATTTGAAAATTTCTTTTTGCACATAAAACATTTTTGAGATTTTTTGAACTTTGGTTTATTAATTTTGATGGACTTCACTATTTATTCAATTAATTATTTATTTATTTTTTATATATGTTTGCACTTTGTATGTTGATTTGATGTAGAGGTCTATGTTTGCGCTGTTTACCTTTGTATCTTTGAGCGCTTTCTCCAATACAAGTCTTGTTAATTGCAACCAGTTGCTGCTGTGGCACCACCCTGCACCCATCCATAAGCTTTCTGTGCCCATAAAACACACATACCATGCCCCTGCCACTGACTATCCTCACTGGCTGTGATTGACAACAATGGGAGCCAGTGGCTCCTGCTGCTGTTTCTGAGCAAATAAGAAAGCAGAGCGCCGAGAGAGCCTCTGATCTCTTGAACATTGCTGGAACAAGGTCAGGCTCAGGTAAGTATTTAGGTAAGGCTGGGAGGAGCTGCTTGTTAAAGAATGCATTAAGGGGAAAAAAAAACCTTCTGCTTTTAAACCACTTTAATTTTTCTCCTATACAACATCATTCTGTCAACCAGTGATGGGCTGAACACCCCCCGTTCTATTCGTGGTCGAACAATCGAACCTACCAAAAGTTTGAGCGCAAACATCAAACATAATGCAAGTCTATGGGGCTTGAACTTGTAAATTCAAAAGTACCCATTTTGAAGGCTTATATGCACATTATTGGCCATAAAAGGGGTATGGGAACTTGGGTACTGCCCTGAGGGACATGAATCAGTGAAACAAAAATTTCAAAAAGTAGAATTTTTTTAGGAGCAGTCATTTTTCATTGCTTAAAGTAAAAAAAAAACATTCCTTTAAATATCATGCATGGAGGGGGCCCTTTAGGCCTGGTAGGACTTTTAAGGGGAACCCCACCCCCAATAAATGCGGCGAAAAAAGCGTGGGGTCTTCCCTAAATTCCTACCAGACCCTTGATCAGAGCACAGGCCAGGCAGGCCAGGAAAGAGGGGGGACGAACGAGCATGCCCTCAACATGGAGGGGTGCTTTGGGGTAGGGGGTTCCCCCCCAAAGCATCTTGTCCCCATGTTGATGTGGAAAAGGGCCTCTTCCCCACTACCCTGGGCAGTGGTTGTGGAGGTCTGCGGGGGGGTGACTTATTGGAATCTGGAAGGCCCCTTCAACAAGGGGGGCCCCCAGATCCCAGCCCCCCTTGTGAATGAGTATTGGTTACATAGCACCCCTACCCATTCCCCAAAAAGTATAAAATGTGAATAAAAACACCAGAACAATTTTTGAAAAGTCCTTTATATTTAAAAAAAAAGCCAAATAAATGGTTCCATCACTGTACTCTATCGTCAATCACGATGTCCAGTGTTGTCATAAAAAAAAAAAAAACGACGACCACCAACGTGTCCGAACCCGCCGAGCACTGGCCGCAATCTGAAATTTGCCAGCCAGATGTATAAAACTGGGCAGAGCTAGCGGTGACGTCACTGCTAGTTCCACACAATTGTGCTGTGATTGGCCAAAGCATTGCAACTGACTTGTGATCTTCAGAGCTTCAGAGCGCAGTGCATTGTGGGGCATGGCATGCGAACAGCCTGCCGAACACCCTTACCGCTTGTATGTTCGGTGAACACACGAACGGCCAATGTTCAAGGTGGACTTACGTTCCACTCAAACATACAAACAACTTCACTCCATAATCTCACACCAGTGTGTGTACAAAACACTCACTAAAAGTATTTAACCTTCAGCATGAATGGTCAAAAGAAGCTTTTGATACAATTAAAAACTTGCTTCATTATCATCCTCCTACCCATCAAGACTCAGTAATGTTGACACAGAGGGGAAAAAAAACTCACAATAGAGTAATACCATAAGTAAAACACTCTAATTATAATAATTAAAATGACACCTATAAAACAAGGTGCTGGATAAGTACTATTCAAATGGCATTTACCGTATTTTTCGCTCCATAAGACGCACCTGACCATAAGACGCACCTAGGTTTTAGAGGTGAAAAACAAGAAAAAAAATATTCTGAACCAATGGTCTGCAGACATAGTACAGAAAATGACCAGAGACTGCAGACACAGTACATGAGATGACCAGAGACTGCGGACACAGTACAGGAGATGACCAGAGACTGCGGACACAGGACAGGAGATGACCAAAGGCTACAGACATAGTACAGGAGATGACCAGAGTCTGCGGACATAGTGCAGGAGATGACCAGAGACTGCAGACATAGTACAGGAGAAGACCAGAGACTGCAGACATAGTACAGGAGATGATCAGAGACTGCGGACATAGTACAGGAGATGATCAGAGACTGCGGACATAGTACAGGAGATGACCAGAGACTGCGGACACAGTACAGGAGATGACCAGAGACTGCGGACATACTACAGGAGATGACCAGAGACTGCAGACACAGTACAGGAGATGACCAGAGACTGCGGACATAGTACAGGAGATGACCAGAGACTGCGGACACAGTACAGGAGATGACCAGAGACTGCGGACACAGTACAGGAGATGACCAGAGACTGTGGACACAGTACAGGAGATGACCAGAGACTGCGGACACAGTACAGGAAATGACCAGAGACTGCTGACATAGTACAGGAGATGACCAGAGACTGCGGACATAGCACAGGAGATGACCAGAGACTGCGGACACAGTACAGGAGATGACCAGAGATTGCGGACATAGTACAGGAGATGACCAGAGACTGCGGACATAGTACAGGAGATGACCAGAGACTGCAGACATAGTATAGGAGATGACCAGAGACTGCAGACAGTACAGGGGATGACTAAGAGACTGCATACAGTACAGGGGGTGACCAGAGACTGCAGACAGTACAGGGGATGACTAAGAGACTGCATACAGTACAGGGGGTGACCAGAGACTGCAGACAGTACAGGGGATGACCAAGAGACTGTGGACCTTTGGGGAGGGAGGGGGAGCGGGTACCTGAATTTAACAGGTACCTGCTCCCACTTCTGCGAAGTTGTCCTCCCTTTAGTATGGGCACAGCCGTGTGCCCACTGCGCATGCGCGAGAAACGCTGCGCTTGTGTTTTCTTGGACCTGTCATGTGTCCCAGAAGAAGCCGGGTCATTCACAAAGCGCAGTGCTTCTCGCGCATTCGCAGTGGGCACACGGCTGTCACAGCCGGGTGCCCACACTAAAGATGCCGGCGTGGGAAGACTGTACAGCGCTGGACCGAGGAACAGGTAAGGTCCTGCTGCAGAGAAGAGCTGAGCGGCCAGCCCGGTATTCTGACACGGTGGAGATACCGGACCAGCCGCTCCATATTCGCTCCATAAGACGTACTGACATTTTCCCCCCTTTTTTTGGAGGAAAAAAGTGCGTCTTATGGAGCGAAAAAAAAACACGGTAATTAGCAAGATATTCAGCCCACAGCTCCTGCTGCAGTGATCCAGAGCCAGCTCTCCTCACACCCTACAGATCCACCTCAGTGGTAATCAAGGACCTACATTTATGAACAGCCTTATGCCAGTTCTGGACATTCCGGGTGACTTCTTTGAGCTGAAGGCTCATTTGTGCAGATAAAAGCACCCCACTACCAACCTCACAAGTCGAGTCAAACCGGGACTTTTGAGTTTATATAATAAAAGAACAAATTTCAAGAAATGGAAACTGCATTTATTTTTTGACTCTCCTGCTACATCTATACACTTATCCCAGCATTTAGCTAATGCCTGGAAAGCTTCAGTATAGAAAGATTTGTCAGTACGCCTGGACCAGCCTAGGACAACCTGCTTTCCTTCGTCATCATTGTGTTCACCGTTCCTATAGAAAGATCCCTCTCTCATGACCAGTTATGCATTGATTATCCAAGATGAATGTTCACAGGAATGACTGTTTGCTGGGAACCACCACAGCTGGGATCATCACTGACGGACGGACGGTCATCTTTGAAATGTTTATGCCATTCAAATTGCCTACTGTGGCTGAGCATCTCATCACTGTACTGTGCTTGAAGTCTTCTGTAGATATCCATGAGATTTACGTCTTCGTTCACAAGAAACTTCATCACCACATGCTGTTCATACACTCACTAACACTGTTATCTGCCATCTTAACGGTCTCTGGTCTGGCGCTGCCCATCCGTAATAGAACACACTTGCCACTTACTGCTGCGTGTAGTACCGCCTGCCACACTAGCATCCCTTGTTATACCTGGAAAACTAAAAGTCCCGGTTTGACTTGTACACCCCATATATATATATATACAGTT